GATTTGACCCAGAATAGTTAAAGCACAGACTATTAGTCAGCATGTTTAGTCACAAAGCAAACATTTCTCTCTGTCTTCTTGGAGTACAGTTTCCAGATGGCAGCCCAAATCGATCTCCTTACAAACACAGCACAAGCCTTCTAAAGTAATGCTTCACAGTCTGCAAGTCAAATCTGTATTATCCATAAAAACGGTATATTTTTTTCCCCAGAGAATACGTTCTCGGTCCCATGGACTCAGTATTAGGAATGCACCATTTGTCAATCATTTTAGCATAAATGACTACATGTGACATTTAGAGATGAAATGCAGAATATCTCTATGGAAACAGTTTAGCTGTAGTGCATCCAAGAGGAACAACATCCCATACGATAATCATAAATGTAGCCTGGAAAAAAGAAAGTCTTTTAAAGGCAATGTGAGTCTATGCATCGCATTATTTTACACAGAGAAAATCATAAGAAAAATGTTAATCTTTTAAATTGAACTGCCTACACATAGCAAGCAAGATCATGTACAATAAGGAGCCTAGCCTGAAACTGCATCCCAGAGGGGGTATTGAATTTTGGCTTCAAAAGAATCTTATATTGAACAAAATGTTTTCCAAAAATCCTGCCCCTGGTTTCAGTTGGAAGGATGGATCTTAGAGGAGTCATCAGCAATCACTTCTAATTTGAACTGATACCTATTCCTCACTGTTTCATCTATCCCTCACCATGTCTGCAAACCGTGCTGGTTTTGGAGCAGTTTTTCTCATTAACACAACAGTTGAAATGACACCGATGGTACAAATGAAAAACCAGAAATATGGACAGACTGTGCTTCATTTGTTCTGATTTTGTTTTACTGAAATCATAGGTTGCTGGAGATGAAAAGTATATGGGAAAGGAAGTCCATGAATGCACAGTGTTTACTAAAATAAAAAATGGCAACATTCATACTTCAAATTCCAGAGCCTTATATGAATATAACAAGTGTCCACTTAAAGAGCATCTTTTGTTGCAAAATGCTCTACAAACCAGCACAGACAATGTTTTGTTCTTTGCTGAATCACAGCAACTTCTGCAGTCATATTCAAACAGATGCATCTTGAAATACTAAAAATATAAGCATCATCTTTAAATCCTGTACTTCTTAAAATGGAAATGACTGAGTGGAGCAAGAAGGAAGAGTTAGATGAAGAAATAGGAGATGTGTTGCTTTAAAATACAAAACTGAGAGTTTTAAAAATTGAGACCCAATCTGTCATTTTGGAGAGAAACGTACCAGGTTCTAAGGTAGCTTTTTGTATTAAGAGAAGAAAATAATTGCAAATCTGCAATTCAGATATTTGTTTAGATTTTCAAACCGTGCCTGTGAATGTCAAGGATTAGAAAATGCTTCTTAAATTCCCTTGTTCTGTTCATTGCTGTTCTCCAATATTAGTTTTGATATTCCTGTGTCCCCAAAAAGAGGAAGGGATAACACTGGCCATGAAATATATGTATATAAAGAAATGTGAGAAGTTAAGTCTGATGGATGCAGATCACACTATCACAGGCATAATTTAGAGAAAGGAATAAATACAGAATCTTACTGACATTACAGGCTAAATATAGATAGGCAAAGTGCAATACCTGGACCAGAATTTAGTCAGACAACTAGTGTTGTTCAGTTAACTCTTTCAAAAAATTGGTCTCTAATATTTTATGACCACAGAGGAAGTGCCTTTTCAGCTCAGTGTCCTTTTCAGCCCTTTAGTGTCCTGCTGCAGCTTTGGGTTAGTAATGATTCCTGCAAGAAGAATACTACCCACTCAGAAAACAAATATTTTTTTGTCTTTCCTGAAACACAAAGAAATGTTTGTTTCCCAAACAAGTCCATTGTCACTCCAGCCTTAATTATTTTGTGAAATCTAGTAGGATGCTGGAGATGTACACCACAAAAGCTGAAAAAAGAATGTCTCTTGACAAAAATATCTGCTAAATTAACAAGATACTGAGTCCTATTTAGTTGAATTCCTACCACAATCCATTCCAAAGAATGTAATGGTGCAATATCTCAAGAATTAGATCTTTCTTCTGAACATGAAAAATCAAGGAAATGTTAGCTACCCACGTTTAGAAGGCCTCAATGAAACCTTAGCAGTCAACAGCAGTGGATACATCACATTCTGATTTCAAGGCTACAAATGAAATGAAGAGTGAAGAACAATTCTCTACATTCTTTTATCATTTTCTCCAGGTAATGTTTAAAGAGTTGTAGTAGGAAGATTATATAGGTTTCAAAATTTTAATATGAGTACTGTCATAACAAAAGAGAACTCCTAGCAACTGGAATGGACTGAGTTTTGGCACTGCTTAATTGCTATGGACAGGTTGTGGTACTCATCTGCATGCTAGAACTGGGCATTTGAAAATAACTGTTGCAGTGTGGTACATTTCTAACTTAAGCAAATCTTTGCCGTTAGCAATAGAAAGTAAAATTCCCCAAAATAATTCAAAGAGACTAGGAAGAAATAGAGTGTACTAAAAGCTTTATGCTCAATTATTTGCTGTCAAAATCAGCACTAAGTCAAAACAGAATATAGGAGGTGTAATATAGGGTTTTGGGTTTTTTTCCACTGTTTATCCTTAAATGGGGGAGCCTATCTTAAATATTTCAAAAAACTTCTTCACATCTATGTGTAAATACGCATTGCGTCTGAAATTCTGCTGCAATAGCCCGCTACCCTTATTTACTCTGATTTTAGCCATATAACTTTGCTGATATTTTGCACTCATTTTGCATTAGTATTAAATAGGATATAGGAGGATGTTCTCAGTGTGAGACATGTATAGTCTTTGTTGGTCAAATGAGCTGCAAAGCTGGTACCTCCTGCTAATGACCATCTTTCAGAAGGACACTCAGGCATCTAAGGCTGATGTAATAATATGCATGTCTGGCAACTTGATTGAAGTACAGAAAACATTAAACAGCCGTAGCCACATCTTTACTGACTTTATTTATACACTTGTCTGGAGCTTTTTGAATTAATCTTCTTTGTTTGGGATATGTCCTTTCAGTCAGACGCAAATTGAAAAAAAGAGCAAAAAAATTAAGTGGTCAGAGAGCTTTCTTACAATTCCTATTCCTCTAGGAACTCAGATTTAGAAAAAGCAGGTGATATGAAGGCTCTTTTCCTGGTAACGAGCACAGATGCTGAAATCTTAACTAAATAGTACACATCTAGACAAAAAGTAAAGTAATGGCAAGTGAAGAAATCTACTCAAAAAGTTTTGTAAATTCAGATTCGACCCATCTGAAACATAAACCAATTATTTGACTGTCTGTTCCCCTTAGTATTATTTATGGAGAAGAGAATATCCCCATTAGCTTGAACTACAGTGAACGTATAGATTTTAGTATTTTGTACTTAAACGAGGCAATGACTGAGAAGTCAGAGGTTTGCCAGTGTCTCGCTGCTTAGCTCTGCACAAGCCCTTAACTTCTCTCTGCCTCAACTTTTCCATCTGTATTGCGACTATGCTATGCCTCATTTTGGAAAGCACCAATAGGAAATACTCCTGAGCTGTTTAAAGCTTGTTAATAGAATTTTAAAGGTCACTATTTTTCATTTCTCAGCACAAGAAGATAGGACTTCCCAGAATTTCTAAAATTCAAGAAGCAGTGGGTATCTTAAATAATAATAACAAACCAAAAAACCACAAAAACACGGTGAAAAAAAAACACGTGGAAAAATGGAAGTTTCTTCCGTACGTTTGCATGCAGTGCACTAGAGGGCTCTCAGGAGGTAGAAACGGATGGAATGCACTTTTGAAAGGCACATACTTCACAGGACTTTTCATTGCAGAATTTAAAATAGAAGTTGCTGGGTTTTGGTGGTGTGGAGTGGTTTGTTTTTTTTATAATATTAAGTTCATGTAAGTTTATAGCAGTTCATGTGCAAACCACCTCTCAGTACTGTTAGCTTCCAAACAGTATTTAGTTTGCAATGAATGCCTAAATATGAACCATACTTAAAACTGAAATATATGCTAGAATACTTTGAGAACGTCAGCTTTTACTAAGTTACTTTTACTAACCTAAGAAGTTTACCAGAAAGAGGATATATCCAGCTGAGTAAGTAAGAGATTTTACATTTTTATAGCAATATATATGTATGTATTGCATGCACTTATTCTGTCTCTGTTTCTTTGAAAGAATATATAAGCCACTGACATTTTATTTAAAAAACTATCTGGGTCTTATTTATGACTTCCAAAGCGTGAAGATAATTAGCTATCTTTCATCTTTAATGTGTGTTTATGAATTATGTGAGCTATATTCATATTCACCTAGGGAAATCTGGTACTAGTAATATATTTTTGTATTAGTGAATATGTGTTTATTTAACTACTACAGTTACTGGTGGTTAATATTGTATAGTTTACAGCACATCTGTAGCATGAGGTTTAGTAAAGACTTTGTCTCATAAGGAAAAGGTGATAATGGTGTGGGTTTGACAAGCTTTTCTTCTAAAGCTGGCATACAGCTAGCTGAGATTGTAAACTGAGCTTGTATTTTATGATTTTCGTGCTTAGTTTATAGTGTGATGAGAAAGTGAAAGATGCATCCTGGCAAATTTCTAGATGCATACTGTCTTATCTACAACGTCTCTCTTAAAACTATAGAGCTACAGATGACATATATGAGCAACGAAATGAAATACTACTATTTTCTTTTTCCAGTTTGCAAAGGAGATACTTCAAATCTTTCAGACTACACGTCAGTAAACTTTGCTTGTGGAGCTGGCTCCATTCATTTTCTGAAGCCAATCACTTCTCCTGTGGTGACCGATAAGAATTTAACGGCTTGAGAAGGTGGAGTCTCAGCATCCTTAGTGCTGAGACTTAGCACTTTCCCAGACATATCAGTAGCCTCTGTCCATTACCCATGCTGGAAGCTATTTGGGGAAGAAGAAATAGAAATTGGGGAAGGGAAGCTGTGCATCATCCTGACTGGAACGTACAGAAGACTTTATGCTGTTTTCATCATGTGGATTCACTACAGAAATGACCACCTTTGATCAGCCAAGTAAAATAAAAAACTTGTTTATTTGCTGCCTGTGCCCCCCACGGGTGCTGAGATTCTGGACCTGTAGGCGGCCAAGGACAAGGAGGAATCTGCTAGTGGGCACTGTGTGTGTGATCTATTTGGGATTCCTCATCAGTCAAGTGGGTCATGTTCTACCCCAGCACAAAGGAGGACACCAGAAGATCAGTTCCAGAAGTCTCCAAGATGCAGCCCAAACTCCTTTTCTGGGCATCCCACTGGATGGCACCCTGTCACCACCCAATTTCCAGGAACCTCAGCTTGGTAGTAATGGGACCTCGCTGCCACTCAATGTAGTTTATATCACCCTGCGGTCCAAGCGCAGCAAGCCTGCCAATATCAGAGGCACAGTGAAGCCAAAGCGCAGGAAGAAATACACAAACCCTTTGTCCCACAGGCAGCACTTTCCACAAGCCACTTTTATGGGCCGGGAAGAGGCCTTTGCCCAGCAGGCACGGAGGGCCACACGTCGCATGGGCACGATGGCAGCAGCAGTAGCTCTGGAGGCAAGAAAGCACCAGCTGGATGAACACAGGCATAAAGAAATAGCAACCAGGGAGAGGGGACACCAGAGATCTGGGGGGATTGCTGGAGTTGCAAAGGCACAGTCTGAGCCGGAAGAAAGCAATATCAGGATTTATAGTGAGAGCTCTCCCTCTTGGCTGAGCAAAGATGACATCTTAAACATGCGCATGCTGGCAGATTCTCAGATAGAGAGCATCCAAGAAATGCCTTCTCACAAAGCAGTCCTGGTAGTTTTTGCAAGAGGTGCCAGCACTACAGGAACTGCTTGTCGTCAGGGACACTGTGCCATCGTCAAAAGACCCCTCGACATGAGTGAGGTGTTTGCTTTTCATTTGGACAGGATCCTGGGGCTAAACAGGAGCTTACCTTCTGTAAGCAGGAGATCGAAGTTCTTCCAAGGTAATGCATTCCTATGATTTTGGCTCTTAGGTGGAGTGCTGAGGTTTTCTTCCCACTCCCACAGTAACCATGGGGCAGCAGCCACCACCTTTAACTCCTGCGAGCCTGAGAACTAACCCCATTATTACGGGGAAATAAAACTGGTATCTGTGTGTAACTTTCATGGGGCAATTATCCTGTCCAAAGGACGCAGTACCCCAAAGTTTAGATCAAATCCCTTTGAGCTGATGAGGACAGTAACTGTTTCTCTTCCACGAGAGTCTAGAATGGGAAAAAAGAGAAGGAGTCATCTGTAGATTGCGTGACATTGTGCAGACTGTCTGAAGTGGTGAAAGAAATTCCAGAATACTCTGTGATACAATGAGTATTTCTATTTCTTTTTTAGTCTTTCCATCTTTTAGAATTGACTTTAGTAAAATATTGTTGAAAATCAGCACAAGAGTTCATCTCTCAATAAGTCATAGCAAAGTAGATTTGTATTTAGTCAAATAACCTACTCAGAGAAGTAGGGGACCTTCCTACAGAAGCCTGCTGCTACTTTCATAGTACTAATACTCTGGGAACTGAAATATTTTTTTAAAAGTGCCTCCTTCTCCCCTGGTAATCAAAAAAATGCTGCATTTCTGTGAATCCTGCTGTACATTTGGAGTTCACTACAGATGTCTGCATATTATGTAGACAGATATACACAGTAAATATCTAACTATGCCTATTACAGGATTGGTGTAAAGTTTTCAGTTAAGAATTTGATTTTTTACATTTAGTGAAATTAAAGGTAGATTCCAGACGTATAATGTGATTTAGAAGTCTACTTCTATCATTACTATCTTGTTAAAGACGTCTTCAGCCTAACTGCTGTTTTTATACAATCACAAATCATAATACAAAAGGACTACATTGTGTTTTGATGAGTCATTGCTAAAGCTATGTTTTTGCTGTTTATTTTGTACTGCTGAAATTAGCTTATACCACATACTTTTATCAGTCTGCGTTTCTTTAAAAAAAAAAAAAAAGCAAGAATGTCTTTCTAAAGCTTGACACCAGGAGAATGACACAGTGATCTCCAGTTTCTTGTTTTGTAAACCTTCCATTTGGCAGCCTGTACAACAATGTGAATCAATCTCTAGAAACAACGGTTTGGAGGCTTCTGAATATTATTCATACTTGGAGAACATGGAAGATACATTATGCCTAGTTTATTTTTAGGAACAAGATTTATTACTATAGAGCTGTCATAAGGCATTAAGGTAGTTGAGTTGGAGGAACTATGCACAGTGTGGCTGCAGAGATGACAAACTACAAGCCTCTGAAAACTGCTATTAGGCTAATCGTACTTTGTGTTGCTCAGTATCTGTCACCTTACAGTATGTTTTGGACTGTCTGGGACAGCGAGTGTCATTCTGCCCTCTTTAATTTTCTTTTCCTCATAACTGGCTATGGCCCTACAGCAAGAACGGTGTTGCTAGGTGATGAGAAGAAAAATAACATTATTTTGGTCTCACTTTATTTTTTCCAGCTAAAGGGTGAACAGCATTTGGAACAGTTACTGTACCTTGTCTGTCTCAGTTTCTTTAGCCTGGAAGCGTGCTGGAGCCCAGATGCCCAATATGTACTTGAGCGCATTACTATTTACACGTTTGTGTTCGGCATAATTTGAAAAATGTCTATGTTGAAAAAATGAGCAAAAATATATTCTTAAAAATAATGTGAACAATTAGTGATCTCATTTCCATAACTTACATGCATTTAGTTAATGATAGGTGGACCCTGTAAAGGTTTTTCAGGGGTGCTTGTGTGACTCATAGTTATTCATATGGGAAAGCAAGCAATGCAGGATTAGAGTCTGTGCATGTGTGTATAAACGTACACGATTTCTGGGCTGGCATATCTCTCTCCATGACACATCCCTTTAGCTTGACTCAGCTGTGATGTGATCTAACAAGACATGTTTGATGTAGCATTAAAATCTTAAAAAATGGGCTTTTCAAAACTGTCATTCATTTTGTCAAAAGCAGTTTCAAAGAACTGCTCAGTAAATCCCTGCACAGGTTCTGTTTCCTCTATTCCCACAAATCCCCCATTGATTTTTTTTTAAAGTCTATCAAAATACTATATGCAAGTCCTCTGTCTGCTGCCTGTGGTTTCTCTGGTTAATTGTAAACCCTTTTGTGTTAACTGGTTGTTTGGGTTTTTTTTTTTTTAATGTGGTTTATCTTACTGTTCTATCAGGGATGGAAAAATCAGGTATAACTCTTTCTCTCATGTTTTTGTAATGACTTTGATGAACATAAAAAGCCTGAGGAGTACAGGTGGGCAAAGCCCTTCCGAGTTCAGTATTACAGTCTAAAAGAGCATGATTCTAGGCATATGCAAGCAGTCATTCATTATTCCCGTTGCTACCTACAAGGTGTGAACAATGTTAAAATTCCAAAACACTTATAATCATAAAACTCTGTCTGTTGTGGAGAAAATGAAGGCTGACCCTTGTGTGTCTGAATTTTGGATTGGTCATATTAATACCACAGGACTGAGAATCACAGAATCACAGAATGGCCTAGGC